CGTAAGCGTAATATAAACAAATAGTTCATAATAACCCAATGCACATATTCGGAATGCAATAATTATTTATGAAAAGTAGAAAATTATAGGTGACATGTTATTTAATAAAGAGTTCAAAATAAATAGTACTATAACTAAAGTAAATATACTTAATGGTAAAAACTTACGATCTATGCATCTGTGTGTATGTTTAAAAAATTCAGCCACAACGCCAAAGGGTCCAGTAACAGGTCATGCTCTTTTAAAATTTTCAAACACAGCGTAAGGAATCCATTAGTGGCAGGCGATTCACGCCTTTCCATGCCTAAAACTGAAGCGTCTTGTGAGCAAGACTCAGTATGTATATTCCAAACAAAATAATATTTTCTCAAAAAAGGAATTCCAAGAAAGAGGCGATAGATTTACTATATAATTTCTTTATTATTATTATTATACGCTGCACACATTAGTCATATAGGAAAACACATAATAGACCCTAACCGTCAAATATTACTGAAAAAAAATATACACGACAGGAAGGCGGGAAAAAGGAGCAGTGGTTAAGGAACAGGTAAATAGGTATTCCCACCAACCACCCGTGCCAGTTAAACCGACACTACAACATCTCGTACAAAATAGGTTAAATATAGGATCAAAAACAATTAACAAAAAATCGGTATAAGAATCAAATTTAAAACTCGATGATTATACTTAGTAATGGTACAGCTGAAAGTAAAAAACCGTTGAAACCCCTCTCACAAATACCAAATATGTTTGTCTGCTTTACAGGACTGTTTAAAGAAAACAAAATCTATTTCCCTAACAATCACGATCGTTTTTCCATAAAAAGATATTAAAATATAAGGCATTGTCCCGCTTAGGGAGAACGCGTAGCACTTTGGCTAGTTTGCAAAACTGAACGCAGGATGGCAATACAAAAAAATCATACAACCAAGCCCTTAAGCTAAAGACGGTCCTGAAAACAACAAGGTACAAAAAGCCCTCTTCAAAGGTAGATAAAAACATTAAGAAACCAACTAAAAGGCGAGCAGAAGAAGGAGGGTGGCTTCATGCCTACTACGCAGACTGCAAAGCATAGAATACAATGAGATGTCGAGAGAAACTAACTTAAAAATTAGTAAAATTATTATAAGAATACGCCAGGTTGGGTTAAGGAAAAGGTAACAGGTCCAGGAAATGGATCATGGGTATACCCACCATCCAACCCGTGCCAGATAAACCGACACTACAGCATCTCGTTCAGTATAGGGTAAAGTAAGTGGTTCTAAAAACAGGACATAAAACGCTAACACACGCCTTGGTTTTAACAAAGATACATAGAGTATTAAAATTCATTTTCAATAATGATTAAGCAGCGATACAAAAAAAGAATACGACAGGTAGGCTCTAAAGCAGAATGACATTTCAATAAACTTATATTACCTAAAAAAAGATAAACATTTTACGCCCCTCCCAACTTATTTGACAAAAGAAAAGAAGGATCAACATATTAACTTATTATTAATACAAGATAAATACGATTATGCACAAGGTTGTATTAGATATCCTTACGTTTGGATAAAAAATTTATCACGTCTCCTTTCTAAGCAGCTTAGCAAAGAAAAGAAAACAAAATATTTCTGTAATGCTTGTCTTCACTATTTTAGAACTGATGAAAAATTAAATATTCATAAGGCATGCTGCAAAGGGCGATCAAATCATATACGCGATAGATGCCTACAACCATTTTCATCATCTACTCAGCTTGAAGCCCACACCAAGGATTGCATAAAAATTAATGAAACAGCCGTTAAAATGCCTGAGAACCGTAATAAAATGCTTAGATTTAAGAATTTCCGTAATAAGATTAATACCCCTATTTGTTGGTAATGGCCTGTTTCTCGATATTTTGAATTATATCCCGGCCCCTTGACCGGTTTTCCTACAAATTTTGGTCTGCACGAATTAAAGAAAGGGTATTTTCCACATTATTTCAATGTGCCTGAGAACCAACACTATGTTGGGGGTTTAACCTACCCTAAATACTATGGCCCCAACACTATGAAAGAGAAACAACGAACAGCTTTCCTCGAATGGTATGAGGCCCATAAAAACGATGAGTTTGATTTTCAGAGGGATCTACATGTCTATTGCGACTCAGATGCTCCTCGCCCTCCTTTAAAGTAACGTCTATTAATTTATCTATTCTGTAAACATAAATGTCTGATAGTATAAATATCAGTATTCATTAAAATTTACTTACTCTTCGTTACAGTCTAAACCATCAAGCCTGAAACAAAAGCCACCGCAAAGACAGAGAAAAAGCTGACCAAGGCGTAAAAAGGTAAAAGGCGTACCTTCTCTGGCAGACTATGGAAATCTAGAGTAATGGTGGCCAAACAGCGAGTTCTTCTTCTAAATTCAACTCTAACAAAACCTTGAAAGCATCACTTGAAATGGTGATGAATGGATATGAATATGCAACTACAAAAACTATTAGATATACTACATCCTTAAAACCTTATAAATAACATCAAAAAACAACACGACAGTATGATAAGGAGAAAGGAGCAATGGTAAAGGAGACAGGAAAACAGGTATTCCCACCAACCACCCGTGCCAGTTAAACCGACACTGCAACATCTCGTACAAAAAAAATAGGTAAAATAGGGTAACAAATATCCAGCAAAATAAGTGTACAATTTCTGTATAGACGCTAAAACAAAAGGCATCGCTAACGGTCAAATATTTCGTACAATGATATTTAAAGAATACCCGCCACAAAAATAGTTATAAACATGAAAACAGGGCTACATATTAGAAAGAGTATAAGCATAACACTACCTATAGAAAGTAATACCATTCTACACGAAGTAGGTAAAACAAATGGTGATAACCCTCTTCACTTCACACTTCATGCAACACGAAGTAAACGAACAGAAAATAGTAAAGTAACAAAGAAGTATTTACGAAGCAAATATTGTTCAATATATATAGCCAGCTATATCGGTTCTGAAAAGCCCAACACAAATGGAGCAACTGTTTGTCATATTTGTGGCAAACGCTTTTTGGCTACAGATAACGTTTTAGACAACGCTAAGAACCACTGGAATAGAGACGATAGATTTTACTATATAATTTCTTTATTATTATAAGTTGTATACTTTAGTCATATAGGAAAAACATAAGAGGTCCTAACTTCAATGATTACGGAAAAAATTTACAATCGTCAGGAAGGTGGAAACAAAGGAGCAATGGTAAAGGAGACAGGAAAACAGGTATTCCCACCAACCACCCGTGCCAGTTAAACCGACACTGCAACATCTCGTACAAAAATAGGTAAAATAGGGTAACAAATGTCCAGCAAAATAAGTGTACAATTTCTGTATAGACGCTAAAACAAAAGGCGTCGCTAAAGGTCAAATATTTCGTACAATGATATTTAAAGAATACCCGCCACAAAAATAGTTATAAACATGAAAATAGGGTTACATACAAGAAAGAGGATAGCATAACACTACCTATATAGAAAGTAATACCATTCTACACGAAGTAGGTAAAACAAATGGTGATAACCCTCTTCACTTCACACTTCATGCAGTACGAGGTAAACGACCAGAAAATAGCAAAATTAAAACAAGTATTTACGAAACATAAATATTGTTCAATATATAGTCAGCTATAGACAATTCTAAGAACCGTAGGAAAAGAGACGATAGATTTACTATATAATTTCCTTATTATACGGCGTATCCATTAGTCATATAGGACAAAAAACACGTAATAGACACTAACCGTCAAAGATTACTGAAAAAATATACACACGACAGAAAGTCGTTATCTGCAGTGTACAGTTCAATACAGTGGGTTTTTAACGGTCCATATTGAGGAGACCTGTTTGTTTGTGTGAGTAGCCATGCATATAAAACGAGTGACCTTATCTAGGTTCTCGTTAAACAGTTTGACCAAAAAAAAATATTTGTCTATAAAAATATATAGCTTGTAGACAACTATTATATATACTTAAAACCGTGACAATAAATCTGACGCATAAGGATGTAGGAATGTTTTTGGATGATACGGATATTGTTTGTAGTAGAAAACCTCATATACTTTAAATATGTCGTAACCATCGTAGTAAAAAAAATAAATCTTTATAAAAAACACACATATAATTCAACCATTAAACCCCTGTTGAATTAAATAACAACTTACGAACAACAGACAGAAGTAGCTTTGAAAAGAACCTTTTTAAGTTAATGAATAATGCAGTGTTTGGTAAAAATAACCATCTTCTACGAACACTTCCATCTGTCCATCTATAGAAAACTGTAATGGAAGCAAGTCACACACACCATAATTATTGCCTACCCATATCTCACCACTGAAGACGAAATTATTTATTGCGAACGTAATCATCACAAAGTCAAGATCTTGTGTGAATTGAATCAGATTTAAATCGATGAACAATGCAGTGTTCGGTAAAAATAACCATCTTCTGCATAAAAATCATAACCGTACTAAAAAAAAAGGACACGTAAAAAGAAAATTGCACATGGTTTAGTTCTGAAAAAGATACATAGAGTATTAAAATTTAAACAGGCTCCATGGTTAAAGAGTTACATAGACATGAACACAGATCTTCGAAAAAAGGCAAAGAATGAGTTTGAAAAAAACCTTTTTTAAGCTCGTGAATAATACTGTGTTTGTTATAGACGTTGGACGCGAAATTCTCCGTTAGGTTTTTCCACACAGATCTCAACATTTACAACTATGGACTACATGATGTATATTTAAGTTACATCCAGAACTACGTAGAGTGTTTAGATAACTTTACGACAAAGACGGCCACACAGAATCTAATACAGTCAGATAAGCACCATGTTTATACCATAACACAAAACAAGGTTTGTCATCGATATTTTGATACCTCAGACTAACGTTAAGACAATATTTATGGTATCCCTCAGGTTAACAAGAAGGTATTGGGTATGATGAAAGATGAGAATGAAGGCCGAATAATGACCGACTATATAGGTCTTCGATCGAAATTGTACACTACAAAAGTATCCATCACAGATGATGAAATTGAAAAAATGAGGGGGGAGTTGGAAGAACAGCAGTATGAGGATGACTATCGAAAGTATTTACCAACAGAAGTACAAACACCTGTTTCCACTATTAAACAGATGACAAGGGTAAAGACATTAATGACAATAGATCAATTTTTATTTTTAAGTAAGCGTGTATAAATAATAATAAGTAAATAAGAAGTAAGTATAGAACAGAAAGCTTAAAACATCAATCAATTCCTTTAAATTAGTAGTAAACAGTAAAGAGTTTAAGTAATATTTATAAGTAGACATAGTCACGTATAAAAAGTCATGTACAAAATAAAAAAAAGAAATATTATTTTGCTTAGAATATACATACCTGGAGGTATCGTGTTGGTGCTTCAGGTTGTAGACACTAAATAGTACTCAATGCTCTCGAGCAGGCTTTTTATAGTATGTATATGGTGGGGTAGTATCAAGGCTTGGTCTTAAGACTTGTTTTTCTAAAAACGTATATCTAACCACAGAATCTGTTGTTGATCGGGTTATGCAAGCTTCTGCATTGATTAAACCTACCAAAGCGGAAAAACAATAGTGATAACTGAAACAGTTTTATAACGACTTAACCAATTATTTATCAAAGTATTGATACACACCGCAGATAATACGGAAAAGTGCAACAAACAAATGCAAGGAAATTACGATAACGAAAACGTTCCCGCAGTTTGAAAAATTGTTTAAAAGATTTTTGTAACACCTTAACCACTTATTTATCAAAGTATTGATTTATCTTCATATAATAGGAAAATGCAGCAAACAAATGCATGGTTAGGACGATACAAAACCAAGATTGTTTTTCGTAAAATACACAATAACAAAAATATTAGTGGTTTACTCCAATGTATATAAGGCCTACCAAGCTGTTACACAACCATACAAAATGTTCTGCTATAAATGCAAATGTTTATTTTGTTTTTGTCAAGAGACACTAGAGTAAGTTACTATATAAATTCTATTTTATTAGTTATTATTGTTTATTATTTATTATTTTATAGTTATTACACAAAAAATGGGGTTCTGGTACAGCCTCATTGTGGCGGAAGACCTAAAGAAAACGAAGAGTAAGTAAATTTTAATGAATACTGATATTTATACTAACAGACATTTATGTTTACAGAATAGATAAATTAATAGACGGTACTTTAAAGGAGGGCGAGGAGCAGGGGGAGGCAGCTGCTGAAGAGTATGTATATACCACATTTTATTACATATAGAATTATTGTTTTATTGATTTACAGAGACATCCTGGATATTTTTGGAGAGGAGCCTTTGTATGAGTAAGTATTAAACGTGTTGCAATATGTATAATATAATGCGGCTTTTGTTTCAGGCTTGATGGTTTAGAATGTAACGAAGAGTAAGTAAATTTTAATGAATACTGATATTTATACTAACAGACATTTATGTTTACAGAATAGATAAATTAATAGACGGTACTTTAAAGGAGGGCGAGGAGCAGGGGGAGGCAGCTGCTGAAGAGTATGTATATACCACATTTTATTACATATAGAATTATTGTTTTATTGATTTACAGAGCCATCCTGGATATTTTAGGCGAGGAGTCTTTGTACGAGTAAGTATTAAACGTGATGCAATATGTATAATATAATGTGGCTTTTGTTTCAGGCTTGATGGTAAGGACAGTAGCGAAGAGGAGGATCAAACAACAACGCCACCACCCCCCAAAAAAAAAAGACATTTAAATAAAAATTTTAAAAATTTCATGTGTTTATTATTTTACACTTTTACAGTAAAAACTACATATAATAGAACCATTAAATCATTAGAGAATCATTATAGCATTACTGGTAGTAGGTGTGAAAACAATGTACACAGTGCCAAAGGTAAAATAACCATCTTCTACGAATACTTCCATCGTTTCACCCTCGTTCACATACAAGTTCTCGATGTAAAATATCTGTCCATCTATAGAAAACTGCAATTGAAGCAAGTCGCCCTCACCATAATTATTACCTAGCCATATCTCACCACTGTAGACGAAATTATTTATTGCGAACGTAATCAACACAAAGTCAAGATCTTGTGTGAATTGAATCAGATTTATGGTAACGAATTGAAAATTTTCAGATAAAATGTTAATTTGAACAAGAAACTCGCACTCAGCCATGTTCAAGCAACCAATAAAGATAAAAGAATATCAAAGACTGTTACATTTTCAGGTCGAAATTCGAAATTTATATCTTTATGTAGAAACAAACAAGAAACCGCAGTCATTTTGTAAAGGATATCAGATAAGAATGGTATTGTTTAAAAGAAAAATCATAAAAGAGAATCAAATAAAGTGTTAATAGGCCAATGTCTATATACTAACAGATGGATGCAGACTTACACAGAGACACACAGAGTGTAACAGAGGTTTGCAGAACATAGCAGGCGCCATCAGTGGCACGCTAACAGTTCAGACGCCGTCAGCGACATGCAAGCAGAGGGTAGAAGAGGGTAACAGAGGGTAGCAGAGGGTAACAGAGGGTAACAGAGCGTACCAGAGGGTAGCAGAGGGTAGCAGAGGGTAACAGAGGGTAACAGAGCGTACCAGAGGGTAACAGAGCGTACCAGAGGGTAGCAGAGGGTAGCAGAGGGTAACAGAGGGTAACAGAGCGTACCAGAGGGTAGCAGAGGGTAGCAGAGGGTACAGAGGGTAGCAGAGCGTACCAGAGGGTAGCAGAGGGTAACAGAGGGTAGCAGAGGGTAACAGAGGGTAACAGAGCGTACCAGAGGGTAACAGAGGGTAGCAGAGACACACCGAGGGTAGCAGAGACCATATAACAGAGCGTAGCAGAGGGTAGCAGAGGGTACCAGAGGGTAGCAGAGAGTAACAGAGACACACCGTGGGTAACAGAGGGTAGCAGAGGGTAACAGAGGGTAACAGAGCGTACCAGAGGGTAGCAGAGGGTAGCAGAGGGTACCAGAGGGTATCAGAGGGTAACAGAGGGTAACAGAGCGTACCAGAGGGTAGCAGAGGGTAACAGAGGGTAGCAGAGGGTAGCAGAGGGTACCAGAGGGTAGCAGAGGGTACCAGAGGGTAGCAGAGAGTAACAGAGACACACCATGGGTAGCAGAGAGACATATAACAGAGCGTAACAGAGCGGTAACAGAGGGTAGCAGAGGGTACCAGAGGGTAGCAGAGGGTACCAGAGGGTATCAGAGGGTAACAGAGGGTAACAGAGGGTAGCAGAGGGTAATAGAGGGTAGCAGAGGGTAGCAGAGGGTACCAGAGGGTAGCAGAGGGTACCAGAGGGTAGCAGAGGGTAACAGAGGGTAACAGAGCGTAACAGAGGGTAGCAGAGGGTAACAGAGGGTAGCAGAGGGTAGCAGAGGGTACCAGAGGGTAGCAGAGGGTATAAATACAGGAGATGAAAACTATGACATCATTTGTTAAGATGTCGTCAAACAGAGCAGTTCAAGTAAAAAGACTCGCCGCAATTGTGAGGGCAAAGTATAATGATCTCAAAAGGATGCAAATTGATCAAAAAGAGCTACTAGAATCGACGTTAAAACCAGTAACTACACCTCTTAATGAAATACTCAACTACACAAATGAAACCAACACTAATAAAACACCCGATCTCGAAGAAGACGAAGCACAAAATATTCAAACAAAACACCTCACTTCCGAGGAAGTTCGACGTACTCAAGCCGTGAAGGGTAATGATGCCTACCCTTATCTTAAAAAATATATCCAAGATGTGGGGAACATCGACCAAGTATACGGTCCGAGATTTAATTGGTCTACCGGTGACTGGAAGTTTGGAACTCATCCCATTGATTTTGATAAAGATAACATTCAAATGGATTCACACATTTTTAAAGCTACACCTGGTTTATACGAATTGCTTTTTTCCAAAAACCCTCTACAATACACACTAGCCGATCAAAAAATCTACAAATCTCTGCTAGATATATCAGGTGCCCACAAGGACGGACGAGGCAGGCTACGTCATCAATCTCACACCGTTAAATACGAAAAAATTATTAAGCCCATGTATCCAGCTAAAAGAAAAAAACCACAGACTTTACATTCTAACGTAAGAAATGACGAATCACGTGACCACGCTGCATCGGAACACCTGTGTAAAAGAAGACCACAGACCGTAAATGATATTACAAGAAAGGTCGAAATACATGACCACGATGCGTCAATGTCAGTACATCAAAAGTCTAAAAGACACAACAATGTTCAAGATACACCAGACATACAGCAGGAAAATAAAATTCGTATTGAGGATCTGAGTGCTGTCGACAAACAGTTACTTGACGAAGTGGAAAAAATATGGACCCTCTATAACGAAAATAACGATCCAAATATACTTGTAGAAGGCCTCAAAATTCTTTCGAAAAACGATGCTCTACAAGGAAAAGAAGCAGAAGACATAATAAGTGAATTGCGTTATCTAGAGCTTATTCATTAATTGTCTCCATCTAGTGGCTACTAAGAAAACGGAATACTTCAGAAGTCATCATCCCACTAACCGATGCCTTCCTTCAAGAATATCATGTAATATGTATTAATTTAACAAATAAAATAATATGGAATTTAGCATGCCTTTTTATTTTCTACATAACCAAAACGCCGCGCCCGCGTCATTACCTAAAAAATATCAATGACATCACCTATCTTAACCGTTTGACATAATACCTTGATAAAACACAACAAGTATGTTTTGCACACGGCACTATCTTTGCCTAAAAGTAGCGATGACGTAATTCTCGTCGACAGGTAAGATCTTGTTAATTTTGCAAAGATTTTCTAGCCGAAGTGCTACGAGTTCTCCCGAAGCGGGACAACGCCCTAAATTTTAATATCATTTTCTGAAAAAATGATCGTTGTTTTTGGCAAAATAGATTTTGTTTTGTTCTAATAATTAATTATAAATGTACATACTTTTATTATTTTGAATAAACTCGGTTTTAATTGCTTTATCACAATATGATAATAGCTAGCCGCAACTCGAAAATATAGATAATTTACAACCGGGATTTCGTAAAAAGACTAACTGATATGTTTTAAATACTTTATACAGCTGTTTTTATGTAAAATTGAAAATAAACACCCCTGTTTTTCTCAAACAGTATTACCCTTTTCCTTATCATAGAGTGTCACGTGACCTAGGGTGAAAACGTATAAAAGGCCCGCAAAAGATGATTTACTCTCATTTCTTATCAGTCAGCCCTGGCGTTAAGACGTGCTCTCTCTCTTATCAGCTCTTGCTCTTATCAACCTTTACAGTAAGTGTGCATTTTTTTTTTGAAAAATAGATATTACATTTTGAATTTTTAGTTTTTTTAAAAAATTGTAAAGTTTTTTGATTTTTAAATTTCTAATTTTGATAATTTTCGAAATGGTTCAAAATTGGTCATTGAAGGTTTTAGCGCGTAGATTCATAACTACATTTTGTGCGTACCTACATAGTTTTCAGCTCTCTTGCGAGCAGCATACAGGGGGTTCTCTTAGTCACGGCGAAGAGAATTTGAAAAATTTGTTGGAAAATGCACTGAATGATGCAAAGAAACAGGGTGGCTACAAAAAAGGTGATAAAATTCGTATAATTGCCCACAATGACAATTTCAATCATCCGATATCGACAAAAGTGACCACTGAAGACAATATGGATAATTTATTACAACAAGTTGAAAACATATTAACATCTAACGATACTGTTCTTTTGGGTGACACAAAATTTGACATTCAAATCTTTAATATGCCTAGGGGTAGCGGTCGTCGTAGAATGATAAATTTGTCAGAGGATCGTCGAACCAAAAAGAGCATTACACGGATTGTTAATACTGATAATCTTTGTGGGGCTAGAGCAATCGTAACGGCTCTTACATACATCACACCAGAGATTTTGGGTCACAAATTGATCAAAAGGGATACTCAGAGCATACGTGATGGCCGAACATTACAGACTGTTTTGGCGGAAAAACTTTGTGTTCTGTTGGGTGGCTGCTATGACGAAGGCTTTACTTTGGATGATTTTAAGAAGGCCGAAGAACTGTTGAATGTGCAAATTAAGATCATCTGCTCTGAAAACTTCAACACTCTTATCTATGAGGGCCCCGAAAAAACAAACAAACTTTATTTGTATAAAAACGGGAATCACTTCGATGTTATAAATAGTTTGAAAGGTTTGTACGGTACTAAATATTATTGTAAAAAGTGCGATACTCCTTATCAAAGCAAGCACAAGTGCAAGAAAGCACCTCTGTGTACAATCTGCAAGCAGCCAGAACACGACTTGTCGACGCACACAAAGATCCTTTGCGAATTATGTAACCGCTTCTGCTTTAATATTGAATGCCTGCATAATCACGAATCAATGTGCAAAGAAGTATTTAAATGTGAAAAGTGCAATAAAGTATGTAAAAGAGCCAATGAGCATGTGTGTGGCTATTCGATGTGCAGGAATTGTAACACATTCGTAGAGATAGCTACGCATCATTGCTATATGATGAAAAAACCCTCCAAAGGAGGAATTTGCGAAGTACCGTGTGTATGTAATAATCGTAGTAATGAAGAAAATATGGGTTGTCGGAAGCATTATAAAACAACTGTTACATGTAAATATCCATGTCAATGCAACGGCCTCTCTAACACACCCATAAAGCGTTGCACATATACAGAAAAATATTTATTTTTCGATTACGAAGCAATGCAAGACACAGGTATACACATACCGAACTTGGTGATAGCCCACGATTTTAATGGTAATAAATTTGTTTTCAAGGACAATGAAGAATTTTGTAAATGGTTAATTTCTGAGAAACACAGGGGCTATACAGCAATTGCCCATAACGGGAAAAGTTACGACTCGTATTTTATTTTGAAATATTGTGTAGAAAACACGATAAAACCGTACACCATCTACAACGGGTCAAAACTGATGCTGCTAGAAGTACCTGCTATTAAATTAAAAATAATTGATAGTTCGAATTTCGTGAGCGGTCCTCTGGCAGAAT